GGGGGAAAGAAGAAGAAGGAAAAAAAGAAGGGGGAAAAAAGAAGGGGGAAAAAAGAAGGAGGAAAAAGAAGGGGGAAAAAGAAGGGGGAAAAGAAGAAGGGGGAAAGAAGAAGGGGGAAAGAAGAAGGGGGAAAGAAGAAGGGGGGAAAATAAGGGGGAAAAAGAGAGGGAGGGAAAAAGAAGGGGGGAAAGAAGAGGGAGAAAAAAAAGAAGGGGGAAAAAGAAGAGGGGAAAAACGAAGGGGGAATACAAGAAGGGGGAATAAAAGAAGGGGGGAAAAAGAAGGAGGGAAAAGAAGGGGGAAAAAAGAAGGAGGGAAAAGAAGGGGGAAAAAAGGGGGGGGGGAAAAAAGGGGAAAAAAGGGGGAGGGAGAAGAAGGGGGGGGGAAAGAAGAAGAGGAGAAGAGAGGGGGGAAATAAACAGGGAGGAAAAATCGGGAGAAAAACAGGGAAAAATTAGGGAGAAAAATCAGGAAAAAATCAGGGGGAAATTAGGAGAAAAAAATCCGGGAAAAATTAGGGAAAAGAAAGAGGGGACAGCTTTGGGAGTTTCAAAACCTTCCTCTCCAGCAAGAGCTCAACTTCCAGCAGAAACGAGGAGCAAACACAGCCACTGGCTGAAGACACACACACACACACACAGATATCTCCAGCCTCCAAGGAGAGGAGTTTCCAGCGGGAAGCAAGGCGGGAGAAGCACATAAATTACGGCCATCAGCCCATAAATTACCCCCATTAGCACATCCTTCACCCCGCCGCCACGGCTGAGCTGGAGCCTCCTGCGAGCTCTTTTTTGGACCTCTGTGTCCAGTTCTGGGTCCCTCAGTTCAGGAAGGACATTGAGGGGCTGGAGCAGGTCCAGGGAAGAGCAACAAGGCTGGGGAAGGGACTGGAGCACAATTCCCATGAGGAGAGGCTGAGGGAGCTGGGGCTGTTCAGCCTGGAGAAGAGGAGGCTCAGGGGAGACCTCCTCACTCTCTGCAACTCCCTGACAGGAGGGGGGAGCCGGGGGGGGTTGGTCTCTTTTCCCAGGCAACCATCAGCAAGACAAGAGGGCTCGGTCTTCAGCTGTGCCAGGGGAGGTTTAGGCTGGAAATTAGAAAGAATTTCTTTCCAGAGAGAGTGCTCAGTCATTGGAATGGGCTGTCCAGGGAGGGGGTGGATTCTCCATCCCTGGAGGTTTTTAAGATGAGACTGGATGTGGCATCAGTGCCATGGGCTGGGAACCACAGTGGGGTTGGATCAAGTTGGATCAACCACAGTTGGTTGATGATCTCAGAGGTCCCTTCCAACCCAGCTGATTCCATGATTCTATGATTCTCTGGGGAGGTGAGGACGCCCCAGCGGTACCGGGCACACCAGGATGCCAGGGGAGGGGGTGGGTGCAAGGGGGTGGCACCACCCCAAATCCTTGCCCACCCTACTGACCTCTCTTGAGCAGGCTGGCCCGGTAGCGGCCCTCCAGGGTGCAGTTCCAGCGCTCGAAGCGGAATTGGTACTGGCACTCCAGGGCGCTCATGCTGATGGCCTCCACCAGGGTCTCGGCCACACCCGGGTCCCGCCGGCACATCCTGCGCTGCTTCTTCTCCAGCTTCAGCCGGTCACACACCTTGTAGTGGGCTTTGACCGCCGCCTCCTCCATCTCTGAGGTCAGAGGGAGGATGGTCAGGGGCTCGTTCCCCGTCAGCCTGCGAGGAAACACAGAGGGGGCAAAGCACGGTGAGGGAAGGAATTTTAGGGAGATGTTCTTTCTTCAGGGCGCGGTGAAGCAACTGGAACAGGTTGGCCAGAGAGGCCCCATTGCCTGGAAGTGTCCAAGGCCAGGTTGGATGGGGCTTGCAGCGACCTGGGCTAGTGGAAGGTGTCCCTGCCCATGTGGGTTGGATCTCAGTGGTCTTTAAGGTGCTTCCAAAACCCAAATCATTCCGTGATTCTATGAAATACAGCCCATGGGATCAGGATCTTGTGGCTGAGCACCCATGGGGACTTGATGTCCGGGCACAGAGGGATTTTAAAGCAAAGCTCCCCTCAGTGTGTGTGCAGGGTGGGAGCAGAAGAAGGGTAAAAAGTAGTATTAGGATTTAGGTTCCCTACCAGCTCTCATAGACATAATGGACATTATGTTTGGACATAAACCCTTGGCCATCTTCGCTGTAGGTCTGTGTTTAAAACTGTAATTGGAAAGAAATAATCAAAGGTTCCCAACTGCACGAACTCGGGAAAACAGCAAAAATACATGAGCTCTACAGTCTAAAAAAACAAATCATTTTGGCACATCAAGCAGAGCCAGAAACCACCTTGGGAAGGGGCAGAGGATGGTGTGTCCCACCAAACCCCAAGAGACACACTGAGAAAGCACATAAAGCCTCCCTGCCCTCAGCAGAAGAGATCCTGACATAAAACCCAGCGAGCCACAGCCTGAGGTTGGAGAGCAGGATACACTTTCCAGGAGATACTGCCAAGAGCTTTTACAAGACAGAACGAGCTCAAAACCTAAAAAAAATGCCCTGAAGAAGTTCATGTCCCATTGCCCCCTCCCCTCCCCTCTCCCAGCACGAGGTCCTTGATTCTGTACAATGTGCCACAAAAGCCCAGCGAACTGTTCCCGGTGTCAAGTGACGGAGCTGCTGGAAAAGGACCAGCCTGGCATCGGCCCCGGGGAGCAGAGAGGCTGCAGGAACATCTGCTGGGCTCAGGAATGGTTTGTTGGCCAGGCTGGCTGTACCCCACTCTCCTGGCTCTGCCCTGCTCCGGCCAGGTGCCAGTCCAGGCAGTCAATGGGAATCACCAGGCAGGGCTTCGGAGGACCTGGACACACATTCCCCAGCCAAAAGGGAAGAATGGCTTAAATCTGGAATTCCAGGATTGCTGGAACATTGCAATCCCGAACAGGGGAGCATGGGGATGGATCACAGGCTTAGACATCTCCGTTGCTGCAGGACCACCAGGGAAAACACTCACACTCACCCCCTTTGCTGGATGCAGATCCTGGAAAGTCTTTAAATTCCCACCTGTCCCACAGGAGCAGTGCTTTCTTGTTTTTAATTCTCTCTGATCAGTGGGATGCATCCTGCCAGGAGCACAGTTGCCAAGGGCAGGCAGCTTGGATGCTTTAACTCCCAAACCTCGGTGCACAAAGGGCATAAAATCCCACCCTGAGTCACAGCCAGCAGCATCCAGGACAGATCCAATCATTCCTGATGCACTGATGAGGTGATTTAACATCAGATACCTGAGGGAGGGGGAAAAAATAGCTGAGCTGGGATTTTTAGGAGAACAAAGATGGGCAGGGAGATGTTCTCCTTCAGTTACCTTCAAAAGTATTAAGATCTCCAGAAAAAATCTGCAGTGATAAAAATTCATTGGGAACATGGAAAACTGGTGCAACCCAGGGTAAATTTGCCAAAAAAAAATATTTTTCCCCCAAATTTGAGAAAAAACAATCTAAAAGACCAAACAGGAAGCTCCATTTGAGGCATAAATGCTAACCTTTTCATTTTTGGTCTGTCTTAACTGGGACAGAGTGGGGACTTGGTCTCATCTGCTCTCTAAGGAGAGGGGACATCACCCAGCCCTGGTGCCTTGTTAGCAGGAACTCCCAGAAGGTTCATTTATGAGAAAAGTGCCTTAGTCTGAGCTTCAGGAATCTCCAGGACATTCATTCCTGGCCTTTATGATACTCTGAAGGTTCAGTCCTGTGAGCTTTCATGGTTGGCACAAGAGACCCTCGGCTGGCAAAGGAGAGAGAGGGAGGCAAAGCATTTTTGACAGCTCCCCCTCCCTATTTTACCTTTCCATCTGAGCAGGTGCTGTTCAGCTAAATGGCCTGGAAAGCACATGCTCTAAGTATCATGGCTATTGGAGCAAGGAGGGATACAGGAATTGATCCCACAGCCATGATTTCTGCAGAGCAACTGGTGGTTTTCAACTCCCTCCCCGCCTTCCCCCTGAGATGCCCGGCTTCAGGATGCTTCAAATTACAGTTTCCAACAGATCAGCCCCCCAAAACTTGGTGATAGCACAGCCCAGTCACAGGGATCTCCAGTAAAAGTCACCTAAATATGATCAAAATAAAGATCCAGGGATAGGGAGAAGGTAGGAAATGGTATTTATGGTGCTGCACAGTGGCACAACACTTCTGGAGTGGGTGAAAGAACAAGCCATGCAACGTATGGAATGAGCCTGGATTAGTGCTCAAGAGCACCCCTAGAACAAGACAAGGAGTAATTTCAGGGGGGAAAAAAAGGGCTTTTCCCAGTCAACGAGCAATGAAACTCTTCCAGGTGAAGAATTACCCTGAGTAGAAGCCACACACATGGACCCACACATGTTTTCCCTCCCCAGCACTGGATGGGTGCCCGGGGAGCGATGCGGTGGCCTCGGCTCTCTGCACACACGTTCCAGAAGCCCGGGAAAAGGGGTGAGGTGGCACTTCCCCGAGCATGGCATCAATAACAGAGCGCAGGCAGAGCCAGGGAGCTCCACCTGACACGCTGCACAGAACCTCCATAATCCCATAAAGCCCTTTTATGCAACCCCGGGCTGAGCGAGGTCCTGTGAGGCAACCGTGTCAGTCGGACGCTTTCTCAGCTCCTCACAAAGGCCAAGCTGTTCTTTCCAAGGAAATATCTCAGGGGAGGGTGTGTTTTTTGTTTTTTACAACCCCAGTCCACAACTGTTACGATTAAACTGCCAGCCAGGGCTCTGGGACTGAGTGACTTTGCATCGAGAGGGGGCTGAGTGTGAGGTGAAGTGGACACACCTTCTAGAGCCCGTGGCAGGGGGGTTGGAACTGGGTGATCTTTAAGGCCCCTTCCACCCAAACCATTCTAAATTGGATTTTAACGTTCTACAACATGGTGTGTTTGACCACTGGGAACCTGGAGAGAGACCAAACAGCTGATTGCACACAGCCCAGGAAGCTTTGACTCCCTGCAAGTTAACCCCGGCCTCTCTGAGAGCAACATGAACAAACAAAGCCAGGACACTCAGCATAATTCAAGCTTTGGCCTAATCTTTCCTGGCTTTTTCCTCACCCTTGCACCATCCAGACCTCAGGAAGGACCTGCCTGACCTGTGTCATCCCCACCACGCTGAAAGGAACCTTTGTGACATAATTTACACTAATCCCCTTCCAGTCCCACCTATCCCTACTCTTAAACCTGGCATCCAGAAGGTTCCTTATCACCTGCTGGAATTACCAGACCCATCCAGTTTACACACACGCTGCTTGGTGGCATTTGGCTCCTTCAGTTGGGAACTTCCATCCCAAATTGCTGTGTTTGCCCGGAGTTCGGTCTCCAGGACTTGGGAGAGATCCCAAACACAGCCCAGCTCACCCTGAGAGCTGTGCAGCCAAGTTTTTATCTGTGGCACCCTGGAATTATTCCTCCCAGACACACAATCCAAGGCCAGGCCCTGCTTTCAGCTCATCTCAGAAGCCAAGGGTTTTTATTGCCCTGTCAGCTCACACCTCCAGCGGCCTCCCTGGATTTTCCCTTGTTTAAGTGGGGACTTTCCTGCTGGGAATTTAAAGGAGGGGGGTGAGGACACACAGAATTAAGACACCCACACAGACTTGGGGGTGGGTGCTCTCTCATTTTTGGGGCGTTTCCTTTCCAAAGGCCACTGGAGGCACAGGCCAAGGTGAGCTGCTTTCCTGCAAGGAAAAGCCTCTGCTATTCCCACCTGGAATGCCAGGCCTGCTGAAATATCACATTCCCGTCCCAGCACTTCCTCCTGCTGGGAGATTTATCTCTGGCACATCTGCACAGTGACTCAATTGCTTCTGTTTTTACTTCCTATGTGACTGCTTTTCCTGCAGTGTTGCTGCTCTTCCAGCCCTTTTTCCTTTCTTCCCAACACTCTTTCTTCTTTTTAATAATTAAAAAAAAGCTCCTGGAGAATTGACAACTTCCAGCCCTTTTTCCTCTCTTCCCACCACTATTTCTTCCTTTTAATAATTAAAAGAAAGTCCTGGAATATTGACAACTTCCAGCCCTTCTTCTTCTCTTCCCACCACTGTTTCTTCCTTATAATAATTAAAAAAAATTCCTAGAAAATTGACAACTTCCAGCCCTTTTTATTCTCTTCCTACCACTATTTCTTCCTTTTAATAATTAAAAAACCCCCTCCTGGTAAAATTGACAACTTCCAGCACTTTTTCTTCTCTTCCCAACACTTTTTCTTCTTTTTAATAATTAAAAAAAAGCTCCTAGAAAATGGACAACTTCCAGCCCTTTTTATTCTTTTCCCACCACTATTTCTCCCTTTTAATAATTAAAAGAAACTCCTGAAAAATTGACAACTTCCAGTCCTTTTTCTTCTCTTCCCACCACTATTTCTTCCTTTTAATAGTTAAAACAAGTGCCTGGAAAATGGACAACTTGAACATTAACCTTCACTACAACAACTAAATTAATGATTCCACAACTCAAGCAGTCAGACTGACTTATGCTGGACACCAGGACTAGATTATTATTATTATTTTTCACATCCAACAGCCTTCAGCTGCCTCCTCTCTCTCCCACCACCAAACTCCCACACTGTGAGGAAGCTTCTAAAAAATTATTTGCCAAAGTTATTAAAGCCAACTGAATATCTGAAGCACAAAAAGCCCAAAATCCAAGAAAATAATCTGAATTTCACGGCGAGCGATCAAGATTTGATATTTGGAGCAAGAGTTGGC